AGGGACAAAACCACCAGCCATGTAAAACATTTACCTCATGCTACCTGGGTTACAGGCAAAGGGGAAAGGTTTGACAGAGTAGGGATTTACAGATTTGTGTGAAGTATGACTCTGGGGCACCTGGGTGGCTCAGGTGGTTAAGTCTGACTCTTGATTTCCACTCAGGTCATGATCTCAGGGTCATGGGATCAAGCCCTGTGCCATGTTCTGCGCTGAGCTTGGCGTCTACTTCTGATTCTCTCTTTCCTCTCCCTCTGCCCCATCCCCAGCATGAGAGCGCTCTCTCTCTCTCTCTCTCAAAAAAAAAAAAAAAAGACCCTAATTTAGATAATATTTTATAGCCATATAAAGTTTAGAAAACACATTTATGTATGTTTTGTCATTCAGTGTTCACAAAATCCTCAAATTAGGTTTTGGCAGGTGTATTATTACCTCCGATTTATACAGGAAGAGCCTAAAGTTGAGGGACTTGCCCAGCATCACACTAATATACGGCAGGGACAATATTCAGCTTTTTGGATTCTGAACCACATGAGTGACATGAGCTTTAAAGAGGCTGTACGTAAATGCCACTGCTTAAAACAGTTTGGAACCCACAGGCCTAAAATCGGGGACTTGCCTGCAGATCTAGTTCTAAAAACCCTCAAGGGAGAATACGGATTCTAACTCTGTTATTGTTTGCACATGGTTGTTGACCAAAAAAGGGGATGCCCGTCTTTACCATGCATCTTCCTTATCACTGTGGACCACTTGGGGGCTTCAAAAGAATAATTTAGCAAAGTAGACTTTTCAAAGACATTTTCCCCCAGCACTCCAAGCAAGTGTATGACCGTCCTGACTCTCTTGGAGGTCCTCCTGGGGCTCTTCGGACCTCAAGTTCACAGACAAAATAAGTGTGAAATCACCTAGAGGTGTGCTGCCACTGTGAAGCCTGAGCCTCAGTGAACACCGTGGCCTGTGGCAGTTACAGGGTGTCTCCCACTGTATTTGAATGATGTGCTTCTACAACCGCCAAACTCTGCAGGGTCAAGGCCTGACCCAACAACTCCTTTCTATCCTCTCTCCATCCTCCAGCCTTGCCAAGGCCCTGCTTCTGAAGTCATGTAGAAAAAATTTCCCTGTTCCTCAGTTATTCAGCCTGTAGTTTGGCTGAAAGACTAGGAGACGCTACGATGTAAAACAATCTACAGAAGACTCAGTATGGTTAAGATGTCAATACCACCCAAAGCAATCTAAAGATTTAAAACAACCCTTATCAAAGTCCCAACGGCACTGGTGTTTTTTTGTTTGTTTGTTGAAAAAGAACAAAGTTAGAGGTCTCACACTTCCTGATTTAAAAACTTATTACAAAGTCACAGTGATATGAACAGTGTGGGACTGGCATAAAGACAGACATACAGACTAATGGAATACAATAGAGGACCCAGAAATAAACTCTTACATAGATGGTCAAATGATTTTTGACAAAGATGTCAAGACCATTCAGCTGGGGAAAAAACAGTCTTTCCAACAAATAGCGCTGGGAAGACCAGATACCCACATACAAAAGAATGAAATTGGACCTTTATTGTGCACCACATACAAAAATTGGTCAAAATGAATTAATGACCGACAGGTAAGAACTAAAGCTATAAAATTCTTAAAGAAAAGAGGAGAAAATCTTCACAACATTGGATTTGGCTGTGGTTTCTTGGACATGACATTAAAACACAGGGAATAAAAGCAAAAACAGATAAATTAGACTATATCAAAATAAAAAGCGTCCGTGTATCAGGATGCCTGTCGGGCTCAGTCAGTGGAACACACAACTCTCGATCTTGGGGTTGTGAGTTCGAGCCCCACCGTGGGTGTGGAGATTACCAAAAAAATAAAAGCTTAAAAAAACCCCCTGTGCATCAACGGACACAATCAATAGAACAAAAGGAAACATACAGAATGGGAGAAAATATTAACAAATCATATATCTGATAAGGGGTTAATATCCAGAATATATAAATAACTCCTACAACTCAATAACAAGAAACCAAACAACCTGATTAAAAGATGGGCAAGGAATGTGACTAGACATTTCTCCAAAGAAGATACATAGATGGCCAACAAGAACAAGAATAGATGGTCAACATAATTCATTTTTAAGAAGATGAAAACCAAGGGGTGCCTGGGTGGCTCAGTGGGTTAAAGCCTCTGCCTTCGGCTTTAGTCATGATCCCAGGGTCCTGGGTTCGAGCCCCGAATCGGGGGTGGGGGGGTCTCTGCTCAGCAGGGAGTCTGCTTCCTCCTCTCTCCCTGCCTGCCTCTCTGCCTACTTGTGATCTCTGTCTGTCAAATAAATAAATAAAATCTTAAAAAAAAAAAAGAAGATGCAAACCAAAACCATAATAAGAAATCACCTCATGCCCGTTAAGGTAGGGACTAGCCAACCCCCCAGAAAATAACAGGGGTTGGTGAGGTTGTAGAGAAGCTGGAACCCCCATGCTCTGCTGGTGGGAATATAAAATGGCGCAGCGGCTGAGGTAGGTGGTGTGTGATAGAATTACCAGACGTTCCAGTGATTACACTTCTGTATCTATACCTAAAGGAGTTGAAAGCAGAGTCCTGAGGAAGAGATTTGTAGGTCCATGTTCATAGCCTTATTTACGATAGCCAACCCAAGTCACTTTTCATGGGTGAATGGATAACCAAAATATTGCTCAACTGTAAAAAGGAAGGAAATTGTAACATGCGCTACAACTTGGATGAGCCTTGAGGACATGATGCTAAGTGAAATAGGCCAGCCACAAAAGAACAAATTAGGCTGATTCCACCTAGAAGAGGTCCCTAAAATAGATTCTTAGAGACAGAAAGTAGAATGTGGGCTGCAGGGGCTGAGGGGAGAGAGACAGGGAGTTGTTGTTTAATGGGTATAGAATTCCTGTTTTCCAAGACTTCTTGAGAATGGTTGCACAACAATGCAAATACACTTAACACTATTGAACTCTACACTTAAAAGTGGTTACAATGTTAACTTTTATGTTATGTGTATTTTAGCATGATATTTCAAGAAAGGAGAGCATAGGGCACCTGGGTGGTTCAGTCGTTAAGTATCTGCCTTCCGCTCAGGTCATGATCCCAGGGTCCTGGGATGGAGCCCCACATCAGGCTCTCTGCTTGGTGGGGAGTCTGCTTCTCCCTCTCCCACTCCCCCTGCTTGTGTTCCCTCTCGCTGTGTCTCCCTCTGTCAGATAAATAAGTAAAATCTTTTTTATTTTATTATTTTATTTTTTATTTTTAAAGATTTTATTTATTTATTTGTCAGAGAGACAGGCACAGCGAGAGAGGGAACACAAGCATGGGGAGTGAGAGAGGGAGAAGCAGGCTTCCCGCGGAGGAAGCAGCCCCATGTGGGGCTGGATCCCAGGACGCTGGGACCACGACCTGAGCTGAAGGCAGACGCTTAACGACTGAGCCTCCCAGGCGCCCCAAATAAAACCTTTTTTAAAGAAAGGATAACAATCTTTCGAATAACAAAATTTCGAATACTTTTTGAAAAAAAGTAGTTGATGTATGTTGAAGTTTGAATTCTTCAAGCGGTTTGTTTTGTGTGGGAAAGCTCCGCGGAATAGTGGATATGAGCGCCCCCCACTGGGAACTGCCTGGAACCACTAGTCACGGCTCTGCTACTCGCTCCTGGTTGCCAGAGGCTCCCGAGCTGAGGGCCAGCGCTGGTGGACTCATCCCACTCTTGCCAACTAGGCTGGCGCATTTTTTCTTTGACTCTGGTTGCTAGCAGGAAATGTAGGGGAAGGTGAGCAACTGGCCTTTAAATTCTCAGATACTATCTAAGGAAGTTCAATCAAATGGGCTCAGAAGGTCAGACTAATCTCCAGGGGACACACAAGCATGATTCACTGTTATCCACACTGTAGTGTTAGAGATCTACCAGCAGTTGTCACTTACCAGCCCTATGACTGTGGGCAAGTCTCTATGGGCTGAATTCATCACCTTTAACATGAAGAAAGTACTTCATCCATCTATCTATCTATCTATCTATCTATCATCTAAAAAAGGTTATTAAAAATATATGAAATGAAATATGAAAATGTCCGAAACTAGTCTAAAGAGGTATCTAGATAAATATTAATACTTGTGAGCTCTGGAATCTTTGTTTAATAACTGGGGACAAATATTTCCTGCTTGCTTGGACTTTAGAGGTAAATGGATGTACAGTGTGTAGCAGCAACAGAGTGAGGCAAGAGTAGGTTCAATAAAGGATAGTTATGATGGTTTTTACTTACTACTGTTCCCCTGTGAATGGTCCTGCCCCACCTGCTTCACTAGGAGATGAGGGACTTGGGAGGCTGGATGGTGGGAGGTTGGAGCAGTGCATACACTTCACTTGACTCTGCCTGTCTAGCATCATTTCCCTTGATGGCTTCTAGGGGCGTCCCTATTCTTTCTTGGGTAATTTTCCTTCCCTTCCTCAGTCTGCATGCTTCAGGTATGGTGCTCCCTCCTCCCTTTCTCATCCCTAGCCTGGTCTTACCCAATGAATCAGGGTATTCCTAGATATTCCATTATATGCCCTCCCATCTTCCCCTTGGCCATAGTGATTGGTTCAGCAATGGGCTCATGACCCAACCCAGGATAATGAAACACAACCTTGGGTCATCAGCTACCCCCATTGGAAAAGAAAAACACTCTCTCTGAGATCACTTGGATGGTGAAAAAAAGCCTGGAAAAGAGATGGAGAAAGGCACAACACAATGGATGAACAAATTTAAATACATGGGTCCAACCACGTGTGAACCACTTCTAGACATTTTAGTTACTTGAGCCAATAAATCCACTATCATCACCTACCCCACTCTCCTCTTTTTGGTCAGTTTGTGTAGAGTTTTTGCATTTGCAACTGAAAGTTTGGTTAATGTAATTAGGAGAGAGATAGACTTTTGAGTTTATCCCCCAACCTCAATGATGTCCTTTATTTTCCTTCTGGAAAGATCCCCATAACAACAGCTCACCCTACGTCCGAACTCTTCCCCTTGCTTCACTTCTTGGGGATAGCCGTCAATCAGGAAGCCCATGGTGTCGCTGAGGCTGGCCAACATGGCCTCCTTCAGGAGCTCCAGAATGATGCCCTGGAGCAGAGAGACAGTGGTCAGGATCTGAGCTCTTCCACAGAACAACACTAGCATTACCACCCATCTCCACTAGTCATCCCATTTTGGGAGGGAGAAAGGTTCATGTAAGATTAACAGCCGACAGAAATATATCATATTTCATTCATCCTTAGTTTCACTTTCTCCCCACATTTTATTGTCTATGAAATTAGTACGTATCTTACAATCAGTCACAGTTTAATAGCGTTTTTTTCATGCTGGTATAGTTATATATGGAATAGTTTATTAGTTATATTTTACTGGGATGTCTTAAAATAGCATCTTACAATAGATGAAATATAGTGGCTGTATTTCTTATGGTAACACGCCATAAATTAGGCATAATGGCAGTTTAAAACTAGGCAAAACATGGTATAAAATGTGCTTCTCTGTTGATTTTTTCCAGTAAATATTTTATAAAATTTGATATCCACTGACTTGAGAGAATTGCTAGGGACTGTAGCTATTTGAAGAGGAAGCATAAAGCTTTGGTAGCTAATATGGTCTGCACAGTACAAGCCCTAATTACAGAGACTAGCAGGGCCCTCATAGGGCAGTGATGAATATTTTTTGCTACCCATGGCATCCAGCGGCTCAGAGGTGGATGGTGACTTGAAAGGAAAAAAGAGGCATAAAAGGGATATTCGCTACTTAAACTGTCTAAGGAAGATACCAGATTGCAAGATAATGCTATCATACTTTCCAGACAAGACCAAAATGTTATTTTCTATTTTCCAGGGGGCTCTAATTATAGGCTCTGTTGCAGCATGCTCACCTGTGCTTTGAAGGTTTTAACACTACGTGGGGACCAATTCCCTGGGAGAATATGAGATAGGCTAACACTCAAGGGGCTGGCAGAGCAACAGAGTGGAAGGAACCTGGGCCGGGACATGGTCTGGCAGATGGGTCTCTGCTGTGGACCCTCCAACTGCCTCTGGACTTTCACATCAGAGGGAAATAAAATGTAGCTATGGTCTTTGGGGGCTTAGACTAACTGCAACACTCCAAAATATCCCCCCACCCCCCGACCCCTTTCCAGGGAAGGCAACTGTTGCTTACTGAGGGCACCAGGTCGCCACGTTCCATGATGTCTCTGATCAGTTTGCTTCTTTCAGATTCTGACGACAGCTCATTACGCAGGAGGTCACCAGTCGAGAGATGTGTCAATCCATATTTTTCCACCAGCTTTCCACACTGTGTGCCTTTGCCAGAGCCTGGGCCACCTAGAAAAGGAGTCCTGTTTCAGACACCCCTCCCAAGTCACCATGGTGAACAAGCCCATGGACTTTATCCATCCAAGCTCGTATGGGGTATTTATGCTTTACAGGGAGCTGTGTTGGGAAGTGTGGATACCGTGGAGAATGGGGTACATTCCCTGCCCCTGAAGAGTGGGCTGTCCAGAGTGGGGGCTGGGTAAGCGTTATACACCCCAACAAGCAGTTAGTAGGTAACTACTTAGTGGGCAGAGTTCACGCTGCTCCAGGGCACTGGGAGGGACATGGGACGCTTTGGGTAGAGAAGAAAGAGAAGTTTCCTGGGGAACTGAATATACTCATGTTTAAAGCACTGACCACGGTGCTGGGTACACAATGAGTGCCCAACAAAGGCTAGCTATTAATTTTTAAAATACATTGTTTTCATTATTAAACAATCCCAAGCACAGGGCAGAGTTATCAGTAGACAATAAAGAACTTTCTGGAATATTTGCGAGTAAGTGGCCAACCTGATCCCTCATCACTACAGAACACTTCAGTTTCATTGCCTCCAGACCAGGAGCCAAGCATGCGCTGCTACGTAACTACATCTTCAGAATCCGTTCAGATTTCCATGGATTTATACCAGCCATGTCCTTTGAAGCCAATGGGTCAAGTTCAGAATCACTCATTGCTTTTAGTTGTCAGGTCCTTCTGGTCTCCTTCCACATAGAACGAGTTTTTTCATGTGGCCTCAACCCTTTCGAAGATTTTATTTATTTTGTAGAATATACCTCAATATGATTTTTTTCCTGCTGTTTTCTGAATATTATTATTACTTCTGAGTATGAGCCATATTCCTTGGATGAGCCATTACACCCTTGACTCTCTTGCTTTCCCCTGCCCCAAGTTCAACCAGTGCTAAGTTGTAAGATTTTATTCCTGAAAATAATAGTTAACCTTTATCAGGAGCTTACTGTACCACTCATTGTTCTAAGCATTTTATGTATTAATTTAAAATAATTTTAAGAGTCAGGTGCTATTTCCCCCTTTTTACAGATGGGGAAGCAGAGGCACAGAGAATTAACTCAACTTTCATAGCCACCTGGCTAGTAGGTAGCAAGTCAAGGACTTGAAGCCTGGACTCTGGCTCTCAGAGGCCTTTCCTCTTCTCTTCCCTGCTAGCCAGACTGGCCTGTAGGGTGAGCAGGTCCTCAAGAGTCATTCCACCTCTGCATGGGGGGAATGGGTGAGGCTCTGGAGTCCAGCAGACCTGCTCACAGGATGATTTGCCTGAAAAGCACTGACGCTTCCCAGCTCCAGAGCATTCATAAGTGACTTTCCAGTCCCCACAGGATAAGATCCAAACTCCTTAGAGGGGCATTTCAACCTTCCAGAATCTAGTTTAACCTCTCCAGCCCTTCTTTTTTTGTGTGTGTCTTATCCCTGCCCAACACTGTCATGTCCAGCTACATCCTGTCCTTGCAACAAGATGTAACTTTTCTAAACCACCATGCTTTTGCTCTCCCAGATTCCTTCCTCCTCTAACTATTGAGATCCTCATCATCTCTTCGGCCTCCATCAAACGCTTGCCTCTTCCACCAGGAAGTCCCCCTCTATGAGAGTGAGTGGTTCTGACAGCACGTCGGTGCCCTCAGCCTGTCTGCCACTTGGCCTCCAGGTCCTTCACTAGTATCGCACCTGGCACACAGTAGGTGTTTCCTTTTTTTTTTTTTTTAAAGATTTTATTTATTTATTTGACAGACAGAGATCACAAGTAGGCACAGAAGCAGTCAGAGAGAGAGAGAGGGAAGCAGGCTCCCCGCTGAGCAGAGAGCCCGATGTGGGGCTTGATCCCAGGACCCTGAGATCAGGACCTGAGCCGAAGGCAGAGGCTTAAGCCACTGAGCCACCCATGTGCCTCTACAGTAGGTGTTTCCTAAGTGCCTGATGAACTGAAGTTTTCCCTGTTAGAGGGAATTCTGAACATTAAAATGAGAACATGGCAGGGATGTTAGCATGGTAGTGAGGATTTATGACTTATTCCGCCATTTCTCTGGTTCGTCTCTCTTCATATTCAAAACCCCTTTCTCAGGACACTTAGCAGCTTCCCTCCTGAGGGAAACTTAGCTGTTGTTCCTTATTAGTAGAAGGGCCTCACCTTCTCTCTCCTTTCCTTGACAAAAAATGAAGGAAAGGTGCCTGTTTGTCTACCGCTCACCCATGCAGCTGCTGTCAGCTAAGTGGGGAGGGCTCAGTTGCCTCGCAGGATTGTCATGGATGGGCTAGAGATAACAGGACAACGGCAATTACAGAGGCTCCCAAGAAGGACGCAGACCGCTCAGCAGGAGCAGCCGGCCCCCAGCCAATGTCACGCTTGCCCTGAGCACTAGGACTCACCTCCCACAATAACAGAAACGGAGGGACAGTACGGGAACAAGAGAAGGCCACTCAGGCAAGAAGTGCTTCCAGATAAAAGAGTAAGAACAAGGGTGGGCTGAGCCCCTGCAGAAGCCTCCAGGGCTTCTGTGGCCAGATTTACCTAGAAACCCTTTTCTTGGGATGGCTGGAAGCCAGTCATGTGGAAAAGGTATTTTCAGACTCGGCTTACAAGGCAAAAATGCCGCGTTCCAATGACTTTCTTCTTTCAGCACTCCACTAATGCGACTATTACAGTTTTTGTTCCTCTGAAATGTTATTTAATAAATTTTGACACAAAGGCAATTAAAAATCTTCAGCTCAAATTAACAACAGCTGTGTGTTCAACGGCAGTCCCTGCCCCAGTTAGGAACCTTTTGTGGAGCAACAGCTGCAAATTCTCAGCATTCTTTGGCCAAATGGTGCAGGCACAGTGGAATTTTAAGTAATCTACACAATGCCTTGATTCTTCCCATGGCTCCAAACTGGAGAACAAAGTGATTTTTATCACTGCGGTGAAGGCACAAAAACTGCAAGTAGAAATACGGATTTTCATATAATGTCACTTGCACGTCTTTGAGGCCTTACAAATTTTTATTTTTTTATTTTTTAAAAGATTTTATTTATCTCTTTGACAGAGAGAGAACACAAGCAGGCAGAGAGGCAGGCAGAAAGAGAGAGAGAGGGAAGCGTGCTCCCTGTTGAGCAGAGAGCCCAATGCGGGGCTCGATCCCAGGACGCTGAGATCATGACCTGAGCTGAAGGCAGAGGCTTTAACCCACTGAGCCACCCAGGCGCCCCCCTTACAACTTTTTAAATAAAAAACAGTGGGGCCTTGATACCCCTCCTGGATAATTAGTTATAACGGAAAAAAATCTTCTGAGGTGCCACGTATCAGAACAAGTGGGCTGTGCTCTCTGGTGACAAGATGACAGATAGCAGATGAGGGACTGTCACACTTCCTGTCATCTCACTGACTTCTGGTGGATCATTACTCAAGGCTCTAAGCCCTGAGCGACCCTAGACGCAATATCGCCTGGTGTCATTCACACAGTGTCTGCGCTAAGAGATCCTGTTTTGAAGGGTTCATCAACACGTCGAAAGAAAAAAAAATGTTGAGAAACTTTTCTTCTCAACCTCCAATATAATTTATATTTTTTTCCATGGAAAGACTAACATGCTCTATGGTGCAACCGAAGTACTGGGAGATCTCATGTCACAGCTCAGTAGGTATCTCCCTCCACTCCCGCCCCCCCCCAAACCCCCAGGTTCCAACAGCGCTATACAGGAGGAGGCCTGCAGAAGGAGAGCTGTCAACCCAGGGGTCCCCGTTCTTTGAGGTGGAGCTGAAATGAAGCTGCATCACCTCCATGTGCCTATCTGGGCCCCCTTCCTCAGTGTGCTCTTTATTTCCAGGAGCCCTCCCCTCCCAGGAGGCAGCTCCTGGATCCATCAGTCAAGCCCCTCTTAGGAGCCAACTCCTGGCCTCACTGGCCGGCCCCGCAAGAGAGCGCCTGCCTCCAAAGGCAAACCTTAGGGGGTGGGGCAGCACGTTCTGGGCTCAGAGAGAAAAGACCAAACAAATCATGTCAGGAGAAGAATTAGCTGAACCCCAAATTCAAACAAATGCAAGTATGCAAGTTTCTATCCCACTTTTATCTTTAAATATTTCAAATAGGAATGGAATAAAGCAGGTTACAATGTCTTCTGTGGACACTGAATCCAGCATCACAGCAATGAGCTAAGCCTAGCAGCCGGGTCCGTAAACACTGGGAGGGACTCCTCGCCCCAGCAGGAATCCCTCCTTCTATTGGTCTACCAGCTACTTAAGGTCTGTCTTCCATATTGGACTCGATGGTTCACAAGCACAGGCTATGGTTATGCTTTGCTCACTTGGGTGCCCAAACACAGTGTCTGAAGAGACACCTCATAATTGTGGCTGAAAGAATGAATTATTTTTATTTTATTTTATTGTTTTAACTTCAGGATAGTTAACATACAGAGTTATGTTAGTTTCAGGTGTACACTATAGTGACTCAACACTTCCACACATCACCCAGTGCTCGTCATGACAAGTGCACTCCTTGGTCCCCATAACCTATTTCACCCACCTTCCCCAATAATGAATTATTTTTGATTTATGCTGAAAGGATCCTCTCCTTCTTCCTGCTCCAAAAACTTGCTCCTCTTTCTTGTCCACATGAAATGTGCTCCTCTCAGTTGACACCATCTTATCTCTCTTCAGCGTAACAAGAGGCTGGTTTCTTTCCAATCCAAAGGAGAATATTTCTACCATTGTCTGCATCCTCTAGTTATTTTCATTTTCTTTCCTATTTTTTTTCGGTATTCTAAAACTGCCTGTTTGAACTTCCCTCTCTTTCATTGACTCCCTGTCCTCTTGCAAGCCACATCCCGCTCTCATCACTCTTCGAAGTAGATCTTTTAGAGTTCAAGAGTGATTGTGTAACTTTCATATAATTTAATGAACTTCTTTTGGTCTTTATTATAGTTTTTGTCCCTTTAGTAGCATTTAATACCATTGATAAACATCTTGGAATCTTCTCTTCCGCTGGCTTCCAGGACATGTACTTTGCCCACATTCTCTTCCTTCC